CTGGGACAGGTTTGTTAACATAGAGGAGAGTAAAGGAAAAAGAGCAAATACAGGATGCCCAGTGATAAAGTGTTCTTAGCACTGTTGTCCTTAACACTGTCTTTCCAGCAAGAAATGGTTAGATGAAGTATTAAATCAAACTTTTCCTAGTGAGAGAAATGCTGTTGAGGGCTGGGGAATAAATGACCTCACTTATTTCAGTTACCAGCCCACACACTCATCAGCCCAGAACCCATAAATGCTGATTCCGTGTTTATTATTGTAGTCAGAGGCTTAACATATCCTGTGGGTGTTCTTTTTTATTTTTGCGGGAATAAATATATTTTTATGGGACCTGTGCTACATCAGCCTGATCATGTCATTGAACTGTGTTCTAGACTGCCCCGTTATAGAAGATGGGGACAATGTATTGTCATATCTGTGTGTACAAATATTCATTCCAGTGCACTTTTATAATTCAAAACTGTGCATCCCTTGGAGGAAGAATATTAATGAGAATTTGATAGATTTTTAAAAAATAGTCAATCTAATAATAGGTGACATCCTACTACCAGTTTTGGGTAATGTTAGCATATATATGTTAACAACTCACCTCTTCTTACTGCAGCTCTTAACATAATGGTCATTGTTTTTAATAATTTCCCTTTAGTTCATTATTTTTGAGGGGCATAATGTAGCAATATTTGGATTAAAATGCTGTACTTGTTTTCAATTAAATAAGGATTGGTATATGATCACCTATGGGATTATTTATATCACTCTAGAGGTAGGGATGGACTTCTGCAAAATTATTTAACTATAATCAACACAGTTATTCAGACTGTCTAGTGGAACAGAATCATAGTGGTTGTAATATACCTCAGCCAGGATGCTCGATTTGTCATATTCACTGGGCTGTTAACATTAGAGAAACACCGTTTCACTCTAATCAGAAAAAGCATAAAAAATGAAAGGTGTCATTACAGACCCATAGTTAGGAACACAAGCAGAATCTGGGATCAGGAAGGTGGAAGCTTTTCCTTCCCCTTGAGCCAAGGCTGATGTTTCCAGCTGGAAGGTACTTTGATGGTGGAACCCTCTGCCCCTGGACTGGTATAAAACCATTTACTTGGGAGGTTGAAAATTCAGGTGATGAAAGGTAGACAAAAAAACCAGAAGTATAGATGAGTTAGTTCAATAGTTCATTTCTTTTTCTCACTGAAGATTCTGTGAGTGTTGGATGAATAAGGACCTGCAGCACATGACCTGTTCATCCTTGCTTAGATGTTCTTCTGAAACAGCTGGGCTTGACATGACAATGAAAAGGAGAAATTGCTGCCTCAGGAAATGCTTTGCCTTTGACTGATTGCTGAATGGCTGCAAATTAACTTTGGCACCTTTCCCTAAATCATTTTGGTCTCATTACTTCATTTTTCTACGGGGAAGTATGTATTCGCATTACAGTTAAAAATACCATTGACAACACAAATGTGGAGAACAGCATGTACTATTTTAGGAAAGAAGTTGTAGGCTGGGATGATTCCATTGTATAGAATAGGAATAACACCATCTTGCTCTGAGGTGGGCTAGACTCTCCTTTCAGCTTGACTCAAATCATATTACTTCTTGCTGACCTCACACAAGATCATGGGCCCCAGGGTTTAAGATTTGGAATCCTTGATGAGTTTCTATCTTGATCTTTCTCCTTTAGGTACATATTTATAGCAAATCATTCCTACCCTCAAAAATTCTAGCATCACTGCTTCCCTATATATTAACACTGTCATTCTAGCAAGAGTTATTGTCCTGGATGGTCAAGAACATGAACTTTGAATCCTGCTTATACGACTCCTTGGCTTGGTGACCTTCACTGGGTTACTTAACTTTCCTGTGACTCAGTTTTAGCATGACAAAAGGGGACCCATAGTGACAATAACTCCACCCTCTGGATTTCTTTGTTCACTGTCATTTTCTCTGCATTAAGCCCAAATTTTTAACACTCAACACATTTTATACTTCTCCTTTCCTTAGAAGGCATTTCACTACTGACCAAAGTAAAGGATTGTACACTTTGATTTTGCTTTCTCTAAAGAAGCCAACGATGCCATGGTTGAGACTTAGAAAGGTAAACCTTGATGAGAAGTGATCATTAAGTCCTTACCTCGGTTGATGATTGAAATTCTGAGTTGGTGATGCATTACAACATCAGCAGGCTGGGGACTCATACCCCGACTCTCCTGAAGTGACTGGCCTGTTCCCATCTTATTCAATCACAACTTGTCACATTCTTACCCTTAATGATATAAGAATTCATTATTAACTATAATTACTAATTTGTCTACTCTTATGTTATACTTCTGGGATTTCAAAGGAGACTTGAATTGTAAAATACATGTAATAGAAAATTTACCATCTTAGTCATTTTTAAGTTGTGTGTGTGTGTGTGTGTGTGTAGCATCTTTATCAGAAACCTCAAAAATATGTTGACGTATCTATATGGAAATAATGTTAAAAGATGTGGGGATATTACTTACACAAAGGGTTATGACAATGAATGAAAAACTGTAGAATTTATACAGTCAACTCCGTGTGATTCTGTGTAGCGTTCTAGCATCTGAGAATCTTACATATGGGTGTGGAAGAAACATTTTGTTTTTCAGAAGAGTTGTATATATATTTTTTCAGTTATTTACTTTATATTCTTAAATATTTCAGATTAGCCCCAACGGAAAACTTGCAGGAAAAGAAATGTAGGGGAAAAAATCAGTAAAAGTTAGATATATCTGGTCAGATGTAAGTTAGCTAGATATATCTGGTATCTTATTGGCAAAGAGAAAAATATGAGCAAATAAACACCGGTTTATGTAAGATTTAATCAGCAACTAGAACAGGTCCTAAGGTGGAGAATATGCTCAATAAATATTTGCTGAATGAATGAATCAATGAAACAATTTTGCTAAGTTCAAAACAAAACATCTTTTCCTACTTATTAAAAATGTTTAATGATTAACATATAGTAAAATTTGGTCTAAAAAGTAATTCCATAGAGCCATAGAGCATGAAAATACTGACTATAAAAAAGCAATGCAAAAATCATATTAATTGAGGAATAATACTATCAATATTAATTGAGATAAAAGTTCATATTTTCATTATCTTTAAAATCAAGTGTAATATTTGAAGTAGGAACATAAGGAATACATATAACAAGACTATCTCTGCTAAGAATAGGCAGAATTTTTCTACTTCAAGAATACTATTTGTCCTTACATTTGTACTATAAACAGTTGAAATTGGTAATTGCTCATATAGTATTCTATTTACCAATAAATTATGATAGTAAATTGACCCAAATAGCCTATATTTCAAATTATTGATGATGCAGCCTGGGCTTTCTTCCAAATAACTTAGAATTAATGACCTTTGCTTATAAAGACAAGGGTATCTTTTATTTTTTTAAAAAAATGGTGAAATCTTATGATTCAGGGAAATTAAAAAGTTTGTTCTCAGCTAAATACATTGTGGTTAGCTCTAAAAACCATACAGTTTAACAACAGAAATGGTTGAGTGCTATTTTTTTTTTTTTTAAATCCCACTCTGGGGAAAGCCAATTTGTAGATAAACACCCCATACCCAACAGCATTGTGTAGCTAATATCTAACGTGTGGGAGCAAGTTAGAAGCAGCCCAAACTAATGAGGTTAACCCACATAAACTTATCACCCAGACTGACCACAAAGTAGACAAATAGCATAGAAGCAGGGAACATTCAATTTATTTCTCAATTATCCCAAGATTTTGTATTCCAGATGTCACCAAGTAGACGGGAGGTGTGCATTTCTCACTATTTCCAAGTTTCTTTCAAGTGAATGTGAACACAGCATTTCCCCCAGTTCACTGACTTAGTTAGGCCATAGGCAAGATGCCTTTTAATTCAACATCAGCTCAAGAAGTTGGAAAGAGCTGCTTCCTCTTGGCTGAGGGGCTCCTTCCCAATCCACCCCCCCCCAACCCCACCTTAACCCAAAGTCGACCACATAGCCTGCCTGACTCCAGGAGTCTCCCAGAGGCCTCAGCACTCTAATTGTTGCTCATCTTCTAATTTTCAAAGATTGATTTCAGTGTAAAGTCCTTCCAGAGATGCTTCACATGGAGAAAGTTGTTGGGAAAACAATTTGACCTAGATTAATTAGAAAAAAACAAACACATTTTAATGAAGTTTGAGGTCAACATCTCTACAATTGCATTTTTCTTTTTGTGATATTCAAGGTAGGGTTGGAAAAATTGACTTTTTTCCAAAGTAAAAATAGATGTATCTGTATGCTTATTATAAAACAAGTACAGAAGTGTCTAGAGAAATCGTATCATTCTACCAGAGATAAGAGCTGTTAATGTTTTCATATGAAGTTCTCTATATTTCTATGCCTTTATAAGCATTCAGATAATTACAGAGCACTTTAAAAAATAAAATAAGACTATACACACTATTTAGTAATGGCCTGTTTTACATAACTTCTATATGAACACATAATATTTCACCATGATTTTAATTGTTTCTTTGTATCCCATTGTATAAATGCACCATTTGTGGCTATTTCCAAAATTCCATGAATGGAAAGGCTGTTCTTATATGTTTTCGTATACTTGTCTCCTTGTTCCTCTGTTATGAATACATAGTGTAAAAGAGTACGTATATTTTAATAAATATTGGTGCCAATAAAATTTGATAACCCAAAATTGCTCTCCATAAACTTACCAATTTTCCTGTCACCTACCTATATTGTGGGTTGGTACTTATGTCTCCACACCCTTGTAAATCATACAGGTGAAAAAAAAAAGTGGTGTTTTAGAGGGTACTTCCAATCTATGAATTTAGGGTGATGTGGCTGTCATTCTTAGATGCTGAAGGTCACCATCCCTTAACCACTGCATTTATTTGTTTGCCTGATGGTATAACTCAAGTTTCCTTTTTACAACCTACTGTCATATCTTAAATCTTTCTCTTGTGTTCTTTTCCCTTAGATTGAGGAAGACACCTGGCAGAAATACTATTTGGAAGGAGTCTCAAATGAAATGTACACAGAATATCTCTCCAGTGCCTTTGTGGGTCTGTCCTTCCCTACTGTTTGTGAGTAAGTGACATTTAGCCCTATGCTTTTTGGCTCTCAGTGATACTTAATATGCCCTTTGCAGGAAAGACACCCCCATTCTTCCCAACTGGGGCACTTTACAATTACCAGGGTGTCCCTTGTGCTTACCACGTGTGATGAACAGGGAGATGGGCACTTAGCTTGGTTCCTACCTTGCTGGCTTACTTTTCCCTCCTGTCTCAAGAATCTCAGGCTTGGATCCATATTTCCTGCATGTCTTGAATTATGTTCCTGTGATGCAGATACACATATGAAGGGTGGCATAAATCTATGTCTCTGATTTTACTAGGGCAAAAAGCAAATCTTGCCAGCCCCTTGATGAAAGGAATGTTTATCTCTGTTTCAATTAAGTCAGATCATAGAAACATCAGAGAGGCCACTGTTGAAAATGCTTTCACGATTTATATATGAAACATGGAACCAAATGTACTGGAAGAGGCCTTGAAAAAGTCCTTAGCAATTTAACCCCTAACATGGACAACTGGCATTTCATAGCAATAAGAAGATGTAGTTTCTCCTTATATGGGCTCAGCAGAATGGTTTTGAGCATGGGGTAACCTCAGCCTGTCGTGGCCCCTTGAAGTAGAACAAGTGATCACCTAAGGCACATGACCTCAGAGCTCTAGGTATCTGAGACTCCAAGAAAATTCACCATGACTGTGTCTCACATTCCCCACTTGGAAGCTCAGAGGTTGGGTTTTAAGTCAAGCAGGAGTTTTCTCCCATATGAAAACATGAGTTCCTGTGAATGCTGAAACATTGAGTCTGATCCACTGACACCTTGGCAAAGGATTTGATAAACTCAGTCTTGCTGATGAATGTCTGGGCACTCATTGGGATGAGCAAGAAAAATTGTTCCTCAGCACTGTCTGCCTGTCTACAAACCCAACCCACCCTCTCGGGAAAGGGAGGTCTGTGGAGGAGAGTCCTGGGATGCTCAGACTCCTCCGTCTCATCATTTTCTGTTCTGGCACAGTGGAGAAGGGACGAGCACCTAGTAGCCTGGTGTGTACCTGGAGACGCCTGTCTGTGAGCCAGCAGGTGCACGCTCTCTGTCCCCAGACCCCAAACCTAAGCCATGGAAAATGGTTTAGCTGTTTATTGCAATTTCTCACCCTGTCTCGAAGTGAAAGTTTAAATGCTAAATGGAGTGGAAAAGTGAATAGGTAATTGATTCGGAAGGAGTTATTTTCTGAAAATGGTTGCCCTATTGTAGCTACCATGTGTTCCTTCCTTTGAGGGCAATTTCTGCCACAGAAAGAAGTTCACCATTCAGAGCTATTGGATCCTGGCACACAGAGGCTGTCCTGGGAGATTTTTTCCACCTTGGAGCTCAGCCTGCCTGGGATCGAAAGCCCCAGTGGAATATAGTACTTAACACAGAAGTTGGTTCTATTAAAAGACAATTGAAGTCTCCTATGTCTAGTGTAGGGATGCTGAGCACACAGCAGAACCCCCAAGGCCTGGAGACATCTATGGCACTAGGGACAATAACAGGGGAATGATGAAGCCACTTTCCTGGGATGACAAGGGTTTCCTCTAACATTAGTGTCCCAGGGGACCCCTCAACTCTAGCAGGTCTTCCTGCTTCCCCCTGCTTCCTTGACACTGTTCCTTGGAATCAAGTCCCTTCATAATAAGGGGGTTAACTGGAGGGTTAAACTGCTTCCCCAGAAGCTGCAATGGGGATACCCCCGTGGGATAATTCAAGTCACGTATTTGCCCCATGCAGTATTTGATGCTTTAAATGTTACTTGCCAGTATTTTCAGAATAGGCAGGATGTACCTAAAAGCTAGATTTCTGGCCTCTCTTGAAAATCTGTGAAGCCTTCCATTCCTACCAAGAGCTAACTGGCCCAGATTACTGCATAGTAGGGATTGTATAGTTCTCTTCTCCTTGATGTCCTTACACTAGAGAGGGTTTGTGTTTCAATCCCTATGGTTAGGCCTGGCCCCCTAGACATTTGACTGTGTCAACTCTGGCCCATTGGGGCCAGCTCAGGAGCTAGGCACTAGCAGCTCCTAGGAGTGTCTCCATTGATTGGTTTCCATGTTTAGAACGTGTCCCAAGGAGGAGAAAGTCTCTCAGGCACCTCATTGTCCAAGAATTCAGTGTTTGTTCAGTATAGTTTCTGGAACACAAAATGACACTAACAGCCACAAACTTCTGATGTGAATGAGAATATGTTCAACTTGGTGCTATTATTCGTTTAACACAATGATACAGCAGAGGTAGAAATAATCAATAAAGAAAGGACATTTAATGAGATTTAGGAACATCCCAAAACATTGAAGCTCTCCTCAAGCATTTGATTATCTGGAGGCTTAATTATCTGTGTTTTCTACTTTAAATTAAAGAAAAGCCATAACTCAAAGTTACCAGCAGTTTAATGATAACACTCTTCAATTCAGGTTAATTAAAGCACAGCCGTAATTAGAGTGTAGTGTTGTATATCACAGGGCTGGCACATAAGTATTTTCATTACAGTAAGAATTGGCTATTCAATTTCAAGATGACATAAAGGACGCCAAAATATATTTTAAGCTGGTTCACGCAGAAGAAAAAGAATTGGGAAATATTCTGGGTATAATAAAGCACAGATAAAATATACAGATTTCCAGAGCAGTTTCTGTAATTATGCACAACATTAAAACAATATGCAGTCAATAATGTCTAAAAGCATGAAAAGAAATAAATTTGCTCTTCCCCTGGGCTGGCAGGGTGCCCCTCTGCAGGGCAGGATCACCTCACAGAGTTTTCTCAAAGGCTGGGAGAGTCACCCTATGAAAAGATAAGGGGGCAAGATAAATGGGAGAAATTTGAGCTAGTTTCTCAAGAGGATGGGTAAGGAGGAGAAGGACGACGGGAGGCTCCCCCAAGGCAGCTTTTAAAGCTTTTCAAAAGGAGAGATGCCTGCTCTGTAGACTTGCAGTCCTCTGCACCAGCTTTTGGCTACACCATGCATGTGACCCCAAGATGCAGTTTCATCCCCCAAACAGTAACTAACTGAGACGAAATGCAAAATCATTTCTAAATCCTTTTTTTTAGTGTGTTCATTTGATACTGACAACAATCCCATGATGTTCATATTAATACCGCTATCCTTGGTTTATAAACGAGGACACTGAGACTCAGTGGGCATTGGTGCCCCTTTCAAGGCCACCTAGCAGCTCAGTTAGAGAACCAGGACCTGCTGCAGGGGTCGCCAGCACTCGGAAGCTGTTGTAGTGGCTGTTAGCTGGCCAATTAAGATTCTCCTGTGGAGCAGATTAAGTGGAGACATTTCTTGGTGCCATTTTCAGATTTTAGTATCTGGTGGAAGGCCTGAAAATCTGCAATTTTTACCAACAAGTCAGGTGATTCTGATTTAAAGTGTGATGACAGGGGACCCTCACTGCCCCTGTCCTTCTGCACCACGGACTGGTAAACCTCTTAGGCTCAGTCATTGGAATGTTCTCTCTGATTGGAGCCAATCGTGACTCACAGGTGGGCCACATCTTGCAAGCTAACATTCAGAGTTGGGACTATGTCTGAGTACCCTTACCACCATTCCTTCCACAATGCAGGGTGTTCTGCAATCTCATAGGATTCTCATAGGAATCTCTACAATCTCATAGGAATGAGTCTGTGCTTTACCACGCCAGGCAAGCCACTGACTGTTGTCCCCAGTTCCCATACCTAATCCAAATCTGTACAGGAAAAAAGACATGGGGAGCAGAGCACTTTAATGCTGTAGGCCAGGCTTCCGCTGGGCATTTCAAATTTCTGACTGGGGAGAACAGATAAACATTCAGTCCTTTAAGCAAGAGAAATGGGGAAGCAAGACCATTCAGGATGCAGTCCTCAAGGAGGTTCCTTGACCTGTTGGGGATCACGATGGGTAAGTTCTGAACCTTCCTTAGGATGCCTATAGGTTATTCCTTTTAAGAATCATTGGCACCTGGGCCTCTGCTGCTTGCAGCCTCTGCAGTGCCGGTTCGATCCCCGGCTGCCAAGCGAGGGTCCCACATGGCACACAGACCTCTCCTGCCACCCGCTGCTTCCCTCAGCAGTGTACTTTGGTCCTTCTGCCTGCTCTGCTCCCCGCTCTGGCTCTGGAGAATTGTCTCACCCTCCCGCGCTTCTGACTGTACCCAGTGCATGTATAAGTAAATAAATAAATCTTAAAAAAAATCAGCAGCACCCCTTGGTATGTATAACTGGCTTGCCCCTGGATCTGTGTGGCTGTAACACCAAGACTTAGTTGCTTTGGGATCTGAAGGAGAGGGTGCCTTCTTTTGATCTCTGCAACCAACAGCCCATTAGCTCTCTTTTCCTCTCACTCTCCACCTTCTTCAGTTGGTGACTATGGAGGGTAAAGGTGGCCAGTGCCAAGCCTTCAGGAAGTGAGGGACAGGGATTTGAGGCCATACTTGCTGCTAAAGGGTCCTGATTTAGGATGGTTCCTATAGGGATCATGAGCTGTGGTGTTAAAAAGGCTCAGGGCCAAAGCCCCAGATAGACCCCTTGTTGGATATGTGATTTGGGATAAGGTATTTGAGCTCTGTGTGCCTCCTTCCTTTGATCACTACCAGCTGCCTGACCCTCAACTCACTGCTTACTCCGGTTTGCTCATCTCTGAAATAGGAATGGTATTACTTATCTCTCAGTACTAGCTAATGTCCTTTTCCCTTGTCCTACTTCTCCCACCACTCCTCTGCCCATCAAGTTACTTCCAGATTATATTTACTTCTACTATTTAGAAAATTCTGCCACCAGTCACCAGCCAGTAAATCAACTAAATATTTATTGAGTTTAGGATATTCTTGCTATTGTGCCAAGCATGATACCATCTCTAGAGGGACCTGCAGTTAGATTTGATCTAATATATGCATGTGAAAAGATGAAAAACGGTACTTGTAAATGCCAAGGAAAGCATTGCTTGTCTACAGCTGTTGCCTTCTGAGAGTTTGCAGTCTGGCTAAGGAACATCACACCCATC